TAGTAATATTACATGCATTTTTTCATGTCAAATTAAAAAAAAAATGGTTTCTTTCAATACTGAAAGTAGAACAAACTCTGGGATGAAAAAATAGGACGAATTTCAAAAATACCAAATTCAGGATTTTTTCGTTTGTTATACACGCGTTACATGGTGATACAAGATTTATTAATATAATAGAAGACTGTTACCTGAATTTTAGGCAGGTATGAGGAAATTCATTAACATCATGTTCGTGCAAGTCAAAGATATAAAAGCTATTTGACATTGGTGATATATAAAAAACTATTGTTAATTGATTTATTGGGAGATCATTATACTTTTTTGTTGAATTGCTTTAAAACCATTCATAAAAAACATTACACTTCATGTTCAAACTGTAGATTAAAGTTTCTGTTGTTATCAATGATGCTATCTATAGCCTATGCTTAATGAGGGTCCATCCGCTCCTAAGGCCACGAAATGCAGCTTTCGCTGTCGAGTACGGACCCCGGACATGTCACAAGTCATACCTTTAAAGAGTTAATTTTGAAGCACAAAGTGGTAACCATATATACTAAAGTTTAATTATTTCAAACAACCAATATATCAACATGTTATTATTAAACATTTAATTTCATAAATATAAATTAAGAATAATTATCAAAAGCAAAATTATTAAAGTCTTAATTATGCCTGAAATCTTCTTTATATTGACAAATTCAATCACTAATGGTATACTTTATATGCTGTGTGTAAAGGTAATTCAAAATGTAACAAATTATAATTTCATGTAATACTAAAAAAGGGAAATAACAAATTTATAACCTAAGTGTCAGAACATTTATAGCTATTTATAGCTTTCGAATTCACGTACAGCAGAACTGCTTTCCGGTTCTCATTCATTAATATGACATGTTGCGAATCACCGAAGGGGAAACCAATATAGAAATCGAAAGGAGTTCTTGGATGCGGATTTATTTTTAGCTGTAAATCGAAGGGATTAATTGATCAAATCCGGGCCCATGGCCAAAAAAAAAAGTAAACGCAAATAGCACCGCCCCTGTGGACGCGGAGGAATAAAGTAAGGTCCGTGACAGTATTAAATACAATTAATTTACAACATTATAAATTTGTGTTAGGCTTTCTTTAGGGATTCTGTATCTCTCTATTTTATTGTCTTTTAACGACAACAGCAGATAAAATGATGATTCCCTTTCCTATTCCTTTTCTGCTTAGAATAAACCAGGTACAAATCATACCGATAAGAAACCCGGGCAGCTAATGCAGCAATCGCAGAACCAATTATAGCTGCCACTCAAAAATCCTTTTTCGGTTTTTGCCTGTTGTCAGATAATTGTCAATGCCCGTCTTTTTTTATTTGAACTTTTCTCCAGACATTTTTGCTTAATAACCTTATGTTGCAGAAAAATCCTAAGTTGATTGTTGCTTCATTGGTGTTTAAAACATTAGACACATAATCTTATATATTTAACTGCTTTTAGTTTCATTCTTGTTTCTTTTTGTTATATATTATATGCTTTAATGTTTGTAACTATTTTACTTTTTGGCATACTCTGTTAATGGCCAAAGGTAGTGTTTATTTGCCGATTTGCCAATAAAATGAAATGAATATATTTAACAATGTAAGACTCAATATTCATAATCAACTCACACATACAAACAAACAATTTCTAAACATAAGTTGTTCGTGAAAGGTAGTATGTTCGGGTAATGAAATTTGCAGATGTTAACAATTTTTCTTTGCAATTAATAACATCATTTCAAGTTACATTAGTATAATTGGCATAATGAATCTAGTTATATAATCATGGCGTATCTTTATCGTTTATTCTAAAATATATTTAGGCAAAATTAAATATTTTTTGCTCATAATTTATCGAAATACATGCTGACTACAATCAAACTACAATACAACTCATTTATGTAAACTCATTTAATAATTCAATTCATTATATTGAGCTACAAATGTATTTGCAATTTACCGCTCTATTATTTGATTATTTTGTTCAATTTTTACCTTTAAACTTGATATTAATAGCTAACGTCGGCATGATATTAGCCAAATGAAAGAAATAATTAGGAAGAATCACCCTTTAAAGCCGATTTATCTTATGGATAAGGCAGGTCAATCTAAGTATGTGGTTTATAATATATTTGAAAAAGAAAAGTATCGAATTGGATTTAGACAACAGATAAAGAGATATTGATTGATCTCCATAGTTTCCTTCCATTTCTTGTTACTGATTGATAAATATCTTCCTTAAAATAACGTCATATGTACCTTTTACATCAATTATTATCTGCTTCAGAAGGAAAGCATACGGATCTTAAAGCTGCATGCCAAATATTTAAAAAATCCACTTTGAGAAAAATGTAGTACCATTCTTAGAAAAGTAAATATAATTACAACTATATGTTATTTGCAATGAATGACTGATTTTGTGGTATTGATAGCCATACTTTAACTGACATAGTAAGGGGTAAGTTTTGTACATTATGACTTTTATTTGGCAATTTATTTTGATTGAAAAAGCCGTGTGCAATTTCTAAATTACTTTCGTTGTTCTCGTGACACGATTTTTTCTAAATAAAACAGTTTCAAACTTTTCGTGAAAATTAGCATGAATCTTGATGCATGTTGTTTTCAGATATGTACATATATGTATACACAAATGTATATGTATTTCGTTGAAATCGTAACATATATTACTGCCTAACAAGTCTCGATTACAAGATACCAGACACATCACGTATTGAAGTTTGTAACTTAAAGCCTTGCTGAATCATTAAATTTTTATTCAGTTTTTTTTTAATTTGTTTTTATATTTTCCGAAAATTTACCACTATGTATTTTTGTCCATCACCCACAGATTTCAAACATCGAACTTAAAATATAACATACATAATTATATGCATTTATCAAGATTATAAAAATAAGGAAAAAGACACAGAAGGTAAACAAATAATCTATTCATTCATGCTACATTTACCATAAAGAGAAGTTAGAATCTATTAAAAGAAATGGTTTATCGAGGATTCAAACTTGCAACAATGCGGATACATTGCTAACATTTAGGCCATACGACCGTTACATGTGCGTATTACGGATCAGAAACAGTTACTTTACATTTGATAAAAAAATCCTAAATGTGTATTATGTACTGAAACTAAAACATAAAAAGCTAATCAATTTTAGGTCAATTTTACCAAACAGTTATAGTAAAAAAGTATTATAAGGCAAGACTTGATTTTACATTTGAATAGTAAGATTTTTTTTTGATGCGTTTATTTAAGGTCGCCGCCGGAAAGCCCATATGGGCGACCGTACACTCAAGTCGGGTCATCCTAGAGCGTCCCGCCGAGATATTTCGTCGATTTTTTTCCAGCTTTATTGGTGGAGGAAGACCCCAAGTGCCCCTCCGGGCATTATTTCAGGCACGAGCGGGCACCTGGGTAGAACCACCGACCTTCCGTAAGCCAGCCGGATGGCTTCCTTTAACCACTCGGCCACGGAGGCCCAAATAGTAAGATGATGTAGGGGTTTCAAGTTATTTAGCTTATTACTCACCGACTGGTACATGATACGGTACGAATTTTTCCGTTGTGTTTCCATCCAGGATGGAGAAAACACAAACAATATTGGACTGATAAAGGTTTTACGGCTGTGTACGATGAATACTTGTTCAATTAATTCTTTATGTCACATCAACATTTTTGAAGATTTCGACCGAACTTTGTTTCTTGAATTACAATAAGGATTTGATAAGGAATTGGGACTCTCATTTAATAAATAAAAAGGCAAGATGGGGTGCGATATGGACTTTATAAGAACGAGGCAAAAATTGTTATGTTTGGACCTTATATTGGTACATCAACTGATGAACATGCGAATGTGCATCAATTATATTCTAGAAGGATTAGGTGTGAATTGAACTCGTATACCAATGTATGTGTGATTGGCTATTACAAACTTAAAATGATTGATTAACTTTACAAAGATTTTTAATTGCCATTTTGACGAATATATAATAATGGAAGAAGAACCGTGTTGTACATAATTCATGTAAAATACAAATATTACAGTTTCAAATTTTAATCTTTATATTTGGTACAAAATCTTTATATATACAAGTTAGAGCTGTATTAAAGAAAACCGTTCATTTGAAAATATTCCCTGTAAAACATTGAAGTTTATCCGGGACATAACTCTGAAACAAAAATAAATAACAACTTGAAACTTTGCAGGTAGATAGATCTCATTAAGTAGATGTGCAGTGTAAACGAACCATAACTCTGCCTTGCCTTATTTTGGAGTTATTGTCCTTTGTTAATTTTTACACTTTAGCTTCCGTCGGCATGATATTAGCTCTTAAAACTAGAGAAAATGAAAAATAATTACGAAGAATCACTCTTTAAAGCCGAATTGTCTTATGGATAAGGTAATAATTGACTGCCTGTCATAACCACACAACTATAGTTAAACTTGGTTCGCTCGAAATCAGGATTGCTCGAATAACTGAACTCATTTCGCTCAAAGTAATCACCTGGTCCCGGCAAAATCCGCAAATAATGTTTAATGTTTGTACAAATTAACCTTAAAGTCTTAGACAGGTTAAGATTGTGTCAAAAACATTTACAACTAGTGCTTACATGTATATGGTCCTTTAAAGTGGAGAAGTAAAAAAAAATTAGATAAACTCTTTAAGCCGAGTTATCTTATGAGAAATGTAAAAGATGACAATATATTTAATTTTCCCTGTCACACCTATACAACGTTAGTTAAACTTTATTCGATCGAATTCGGATTGCTCGAATAACTTCCTTTGCACGATGGAATCGTCTGGTCATGGCCAAATCCCTATATAATATTAATTGTATTTATGAATAAACCTCAAAATCATCGATAGTTAAAGATTTTGTACAAAAAAAACACATTTATAACTGGTACATATATGGTAACCGAAATGAACCCAAGCAGGCGAGATAGATAATATGTTTTACCGACCAAGCTTTAGATCTGCATACGTGTGAGATGCTCTTGCTTCTCGTTCAAGACCCTCATACTGTGATTGGCTGTAATTATAGATATGAATAAATGATTTAAAAAAATGTCATTGTATAATGAAGTGAATGATATATTCAAAATATTAGAATAAATTAATTTCATTACCAACTATGTATGTAAATTCCTTATCATAATTATTTAATAAAACATTATTGACACTAGTGCTTCAGTTTGAACTTCATAATTTTATTTTCTTACCTGTTTGGAACTGCGCTGGAATTTGCTGAAGCTGAAGCATAATGTAAAATAACATAAATATTGTTGGACATTTGTTTATGAAAAAAGTGCCATGGGAAAATGCATTGTTAATGTGTACACATACAATATACATGTATATACACGAGGTAAATGTTGATATAAATCAAAATGGATATAGTCCATTTACAAATGATGCATGAATAAAACTTTATTTCAATCTGACCTTCAAAAACAAATAACAATGAACGAGTTTTATACCAGAACACAACAGAATTCCGATTAAACATACATTTATGCATATGATATAACAATAATAACACTTTATGCAAACATTTTCCAACATCAACTTATGGCCAATCATCATTGTAACAGTCAGACCTTTGAAAAATATAGTCAATACAGGTCAGCTTGACAATGACAATATGAGAATAATGTCACTTAAATAATATTTACGATTAACTCGATTAAACATTGATCTTGACATGTTTGAATATATCATTAAAAGTAACTTAATAAAGTCAAACTATACGAGTCTGTGATATTATAAGCACATATGACAATAATTAAAATGTGTTAGATTTTAAATTTTGCTACTCATTTAATATTGGAGGTTGAAGACAGGTTTATTAAGCTCCTCCAGCAAAAACACAAGATTTAATTGTTGATGAATTAATAAAAAACAATACTTGAGGACTGGACAAACTTACTTTTCTTAAAATGAAACAAAAAAAATTTTCTTATTATTTCTAAGCAGTTTAAGTAAGCGAACATTAAATGCAAGATTAAGCAGCTAAATATGAATCCCGGCAACCTGAACTTGGAAAGTAGCAAAATGTGATGTCCCTTATTTGTCTTTTCGTAATAATTTTAGTATTGAAATGACATCGAGCCGGTTTGTGCTTATCTCTATCGTTTTGATGCGGAGGACTCCAGCCTATTGTCTTCGTGATCAATAACAACGCATTTAAACAACAGATAAGTAATAAAACATAAAGATACCACTCAGACCGATATTGTTTGTTTAATATACATACTTATGTCAAAATCCATGTGATATGATATTAATAATGAACCAGTAAAATATACAGATGCCAAAACTATGCGATAATATATCAATTAACATAAGTTAAATAATTCGCAATGTAAATTATGAAAAAAAAATCGGAAATACCGTCTAGGAGATCATAAGTCATCCTGCTTTCAGTCTCTGTTCTATTTTGAAGTTGTTCATAGGTATTCCTAGAAAAATATTTATCAAGATAATAAGATTTGGCAATTTGGTCTTGCAAATACAACATGGTTCATCTCTTTCTTTCTGTTTTTTCCCACACAAATTAGAAATATTGATATGTAATAATTTGTTTATGTGTGTAATATTCATTTTATCCATAATTATTTAGTATATTAGTGCATTTAGTTGTAAGTGATAAAAAACCACGAAGCAAAAAGAAACAAATATGATATTTTCTAAGCTATATAAAACTAAAATTAATGTCGGCTTACGGTGAAAATGACGGATCATTTAATTCTGTTTCTCGTGGCACTGATGTTGACTGATGTTGATCTTGATTCGTCAGGCCTGTTTCAAAAGATAGGATATTAGGTTTTTAACTTGTTTTTAATACTGAACTGTTTCACGAGTGTCAAAAATACAGATTTCGGTGTCATTAGTCTATCAATTTATTGAACATTTAGTGCAAATCAAATATTTTCCTATACACATGTATAAAATATTATATTTTTTTCAAAGTTAGTTTAAAAAAATCATAAAAATGACTTAAACTACATGTAGTTAATTAAAAGTACCTGTTACTGTCCGTTTTCTTTTTAAAACAAGCCATATACAGACCGCACCGATTAGAACACCAACAATAAGTGAGCCAATGACAATTGCGGCGATAGCTCCTGCTGCTATACTTATGTCATTTCCATCTGCAATAACAATAACACGATAAAGTATTGATAGTGCCTGTTCTAAATAACATATTTCGTTACAATTATGTTGTTTTCTTAAATTTATGGTTTATTATGAAAAAAAAATTAAATATGATAATTATTTTTGTTAAATATATGCGGGTATACTATCTGCCGAAATAATGTATCACAACCTGGTCACATTATTCTCCGAATGAAAGCTTAAAACGTGGGAAAATACAGGTAACAAAACGAAATAGATAATGAAAAAATGGACCTGTTGTTAAGGTGAAGACAACCTTCTAGCTGTTACACACAAACCTATGTGTTATTTATTGTGTTTTGAACAAATACGGAAATGATATAAAACTAACTGTAACAAACCTGAACAAACATTCACTCAAACTTTTACATTGAGCAGCTTAAGTTGAGAATTTACTTTGTACATTTTGATATCTTTACTCATTCATAAAATATTCAATGTTCTGTATTTCATCATTAATAAAAACACATACCCATACATAAGGGCCATGAGCTGGTGATCCAGAATAGTCTTAATATTTTACTCTCAATCATTCTTGTGCGAATTTATAAGATATCGTACTTAGATCTGCCTAAAACAGGTAAAGGATTAGCTTCAATGATCATATTCTTTAGGAATCCTGCTTTGTTCCATTAATTTGCCTGATAAATATTCCCCTCAGACGTGACACATTATGAATTGCAATTTTGTCACCGGATGTCTTGACCGGATGTTTACATTCACTGTTAAAGTAAAGGCTGTTTTAGAGCAAAAAGCAGTATTCGCTATAATAAAAAAATTCTTAGCTGCACATCATCATTCTAGGCATTGCCCTACGCAGCCAATTTCATTGAATCGAGAAAATAATAACTCCCATTGGCGTTAGGGAAATTGGCAATACAATAAGAGAGGGGTGATTATATATTTTTATTTTTCAAACAAGGCGTCTCTCAAATGATAGATATCTCAATTTATGGCAAAAAGCATGTAAAAAGGGCAATTTTTATTTTACCCTTTCCATGTTCTATTAGATTAGAGCTAGTAAAAGTAATATACTCAACCCATCTACATATAGAATAGCATTGAACAAGTTGCTGTTTTACCTGTTATACTCATAGTACGGTTTGTCTCTCCACTACTTTGTTTATCTGTAATAAAACAAGTTCGATTAGTGATCGCATGTGTGTTACCTCATGATAGTCAATTGCATGTTGCAGCTACTGTGTGGAAATAATCACAGAAATCATAAACAGGGCAAAACGGGTTTTTATTTAAGGGCCATAACTCAGGCAAAAATTATTCAACAGGAAGCCCGTGAAATATGCACAAGGACTGGAGCTATCGAACCAAATTTCATTGAAATTGCATTAGTGATTTAAGAGGAGAAGTTCGGACAAATTTTAAAAACAAAAAATATTAAAGGGTCATATAACTCTTACAGAAATCGTTGAACCAAAAATGCACAACTAGACATGATATTGATCATTCCTGTTAAGTTTGGATGAAATCTGCACTAGAAACACAACAATGAAATTTCCCGAAAAAGTGGTCCATAAAATTTTTTTGGGGTAGTGGTTACAAAATTTAAAATTCCTTTTTTTATTCCCAAATGATAATCGGAAAAAAATCTTTTAAGAAAAACCCCGTTTAATTCCCCAAAAGTCTTAAACCAAAATGAATAAATTGAAAATTTTCCCTTAAATTTTTCCCAAAAGGGAGTAAAAGGGTAGTTAGAAATCTAAAAAAATAAGAAAAATTTAAAGGACCAAACTATGAAAAAATATTGTACAAAAAAAACCCGGGATAAAAATAGAAAAAGGATAAACCAAATTTATACAAAAGGATTTTTCCTATCAGGTTTTTAAAATTTCCTGTTGTTCAGGGGAAACAGAAGGATGGTTTTTATTGGGCTTTAAAAAGGGTAAGTTTTTCAAAAACTAAATAAAGGACAAAACCCGATTTGCCTATGGGGGGTTTGAAAAACCCCAAAAAATCCATTAACAAAGAGGTTAAAAGAAATTTTGAATGTAAAAAATTGTCGAATATACGGGTGATTCTTAAAGAGCAAATTTTTTTCCTTGCCTTTTTAAACAAGGGCACACTGTATAAGTGGTAAATTTGCTATTGGGAAATATTTTAAAATTTATTCGAGCGAAAAAATTATTTTTTTTTTTCGAAATGTTTTTTCATCTTTTTAAAAAACAATTTTTCTTTAAGCATCTTACATGAGAAAATTTAATCAATTGTTTTAATCTCATTGCTTTTTGTTTAATTTTTGGTTTAAAACAAATACAAATTTTTTAATAAAAATATTTTTGTGTTAATAAAACAATAATTTATTAAATATAACAAAATGTTTTTTAAAAAAAATAACCGGTCTTTTTTATAAAACCAAAATGTTTTACAAAAATAGTATTCTTAGCATGTACCTGTTTAAATTAATGAAATCTTTATTTTTGTGACGCAAAAATGGTCCACTCTTGTACAGTATAGACATCAGTATAACAATTTGAAAGTTTTATTCTAATGTTCATGTATAATTTACATTTTGTAAATAGTTCATATATGCTGACTAATTAAAATTTTCCATGATGAAACTGGTAGTTTTATCTAAAAAGGTTTTATAAGACAGTTTAAAACGACTTACTTTTTAAATTAGCTCCGACAATATTTCTTACTTGTCATGATAAATTATCTTTTATACAAAAAACAAATGCTTATAGATAACTTACTGACGTCAGTATAAAATCTCGTATTTTTTCAGAGGTAAAAGGAGTTCCCATACGGATCTCCAGTGACAGTAAATATAACACTCGAATGCCAGATTGTTATCCCTTTTGGCATCAGCTGCTGTTGCGTGTACTTGATTGAAGCCACTCGGGTATATCCACATTGATTGTTACTAATTGCAGTTGCCTTCCCATCTACAGTACCTTTGTAGTGGTTGGTAGCAAATAGTTCATTGGTTGGTGATGTTTCAGTGTTTTAAGCCATCGAATAATGGTGCCTGGTAAGCTTCCTATATTAGCAGTACACGTTAGTTCAAACTCCATCTCCTACCTCAGCAGTTGCCATGTCAGATGGGGTGATATTCCTTGTACTATGAAACCATTCTTCCTTGTAAGTAATGATGTCACATTAGGTTTTTTACTGGAATTGTAAACATTACATGGTTTTAATATTTTAATATATTATTAACGCTGTCATTTCTACTTATTTTATGTTATAATTATTCGGCAAGAGGGAGTGAAAGAAATATATTTTTAATCGCATATTAATGCTGGAAATATTGTCGTTGTGCTTAACAATTTGTCTTATTACATTTTGAACTTATTTGATTTTTCTCAGAAAAATCATTGTGCATTTGATGATGCCTATTTCCCCTGGGTCTCCGGGGGCCCCTTCCCACTGGGTTTTTTTCTGGGTGGGGGGGGGGTTTTGCGTTCATTAAAACGCCCCCTTTTCCCCTTGTTGTTTTTGGTTTAAATTCAAAATTATTTTTCGCTCTTAACATACAAACTAGTTTAAAAAGACTTTGTACAAATAATCACCCGTGAATTTATTTTTCTCCACATACGCTAAAACATTCTAACCTGTAAACATATAATCTTTACTATACCATTTTCTTTCAACGTTTTATTAAAAACTGTCTTAAATATGAACTGTAAACCAACAGATTTGAACAAATATACTTCCGGCGAATGTGTGTCTGAGCAATACCAGTCCACGCAAAACTATCAATTTTATTCTAACATTTTTTTATATTTATATAATAGTAAAATTTCTTGTAAAAAGTATAATTCGAATTTCTATTTGAATTTGATAAAGAGCAGTTACAAAACATAGGTTTTCTTAAATAATTCAACATGTCGGTGTTGTCATAAGTGTTTTATTTGTCCAAGTACTACGACTACGATATGTATGTGAAAAAAAAATCCGCAAACGACGACCAATACTATAAATACTACTGCTACTGAGATAAAACAAAGCACAGATCAACAAGGCAAAGCGACGGTCACAGAATGTAGTCCCCGGATAAACATAGCCACACTTGTAGGGAAACCCAGAAGGTTACCGAACAAAAATAGGAAGAGCACAAGGGCGCAGTAAAGGAGGGAGTACATGCCAATAAATGTAACAATTATCAATAACAAGAAGAATAATACGTATTACAAAACCATAATGGCTAAAACGAGAATGATTGGGACAAGGAGGATCTAAGGGAAAGTGTTGTCGGAGACAAGGTGAAAAATTAGGGGGTATGTGATGGAATACTTACCGCTTAAGACAATTAAAAAATTGGTAATTCAAAAGTTTTAAAAATCTAAAAAATTTTTGATACAAACCCAAAAATCCCCAAAAAGGGTACCGCCTTGGAACGTTCTGTGGTAAAATAGCACTTGGGGTTAAAACCGGTTGTAGCTAGATAAACCACATTCTTAGTCCCAATATGTTCCCTTTTAACGAAACAGTGTAAATAAAATAAATCCCCGCGAAGTGAATTTCTATCAGTTGTCATGGTAACATTCGACGAAATAACTAACACTTCGACATAAATGACACTTGACATATATTAATACAATTATATAGTATATGACATCACACCCGATATAACATTAAAATAACAAAATCTTATGTGATTTATAATATAAAAGTCTACCTTGCTACCAGTTGAAAATGGAATCTGATAGGAGTTGTAATTTAAGATTTAAAAACAACCTCAATCAAGCTATCAGCTGACGTTCTAACATGAGAAACTAAAATAGTGTTCCACATCAAGTAATGAAAGGATAAAATCTTTTGAGGTATGATCATTTCTATCATTACTAACTAAATAAATTTAAGAATTTTATATTTCATAATGAAAATATTCTGATAATAAAACAAACAAGCAAATACACTGAACAAATCTTATAATCATGCAAGTATGATACAGTTATAAGATTATTTTTAATCTTAAAGATATACTGATGGTAAATGTAACGTTGATAAAGCTTAAACGACAGTGCACATGTTAGGAAGACTTAAACTACATATAAATACAAGTGAACATGTCATTCTATACACATTTGTCAAATATGTTCCAGACAGTTAAAACGAACCAAGATATCCGTTCACACATGTATATTTAAGTATGCATTTTACATATTTTGCCAACCAAAGTTTATTATATGGTATGTTGTACTACTTTTACGTATTAAAGGTTTGAAATATGCGTTTAAAATTAAGAAACAAATACTATATGATGCGAACATTGCTGTCTATTCAGCTGACACAACATGTACACCTCCTTTTGTATAATGGAATGAAATAACGTAAACTTAAATAGATGTATCATATTAAATTACGCAAATTTTGACTGGTGTTTTATATAAAAAAATGAAATTACCATAAGCTGAGTAGGTGGCATTTTTTTCAGACTTTAGAATAGTTCCTGTTGTGGAGCTTTTATAATACATCTCACATTTATAAGCTCTAGCATCATCGCAAACTAACTTTTGTATGTTCATAGACAATGTAAGATATGTGTTAGCAGGTGATGTTGAATTCCATGATCCTCTAGCAACATAATCTTTACTATCTGCTTCAATATCTTGACTTAAAGAAATAGTTGCACTGTTTATAAATTGCATTTTAGCTAATACTTGCCAAGCTTTTACAGAACGTGTTGCTGATGTAAGTTTATATATCCATATGTGATAAAAAATATCAACATCTGTTTCAGTGACATCGCATGTCATAGTTAATGTACCTGTGCTGCCCAGTAAAACTTTATCCTTGCTAAAAGTAAAATCCACACCAGAAACTGTAAATGTAACAATGGGAATAACAATTGTATTTTTGAATAACATTCCAAATCCTACATCGAACATTGTGCGACGTAACAACGTTTCAAGTTCTGACATTTTAATTTTGTATGTTTTTTTTAAAAAGTACATTTGATAGTATTGATAAATAAATATCATGGCTTTATGGGAGAATGAAAAATATTATTTTAACATGGTTATGAAAAACACTGTTTAGAACATGGGTATATTAAGAACAAAAACAGTTTGACCGTAAAAAATGGTCCATGTATACAACGGAAAATAATTAGAGCTAAATCGTTAATTGTAATTGAATGCAAAATGACTTACCTTTAAAGAACGTAAATGCGATAAAGAAAACTAAACCTTTTAAAATTCCCGACATATTTTTCTACGATTTAAATAATCTCTCTACTTTATGAATTCAACTTTTACATTCAAACTATGGCACATGAATAACACATTATTTTTTAATAGTTTATTAAAATATAAAATGTGAAAATAAGAGACGGACTTTGGTGTTGACAGTTATAAAATTATTTAAAATTGTTTGTGATGATATACATCAAATAACATCGTGACTATATTGATGATTAGCAATCAAATAGATACTTGATAATGAAAACAGGAAAAGGCAATATAGATATACCGGATACATTCAACAGGATCTAGTGTTTCATCAACAGTATTGTTTTATTTTCATTTCAACGTCAAAACACGCTAATTAGCGGGGGCGTGGGACGAAGTTTAATTTTTTTCGCGATCCCGCCAAGCGAAAAGTCGAGAATTAACAAGTTAAAAAGGAGGTGAGCGCGTGTATTCACTCCGCGCCCCGCAGTTTTATTTCTTATATTTCGCTCCCCCGCCCCCCCGGGGGGAATTTTTTAATATTTTAAAAATTTGGGCCCCCGCAATCGGGTTTTTAAGCCACTTTTTTGCTCCTTTACCCCCGGGCCCTTTTTTTCTTTTTAATTTTTGAAATTTTCGTTTTGGGGGGATTGCCTGGTAAAAAACGAATGGCCCCAAAAACAGCCAAACCCTAAAAAAACTTTATCTTTTTTATCCGTTTTTAAACTTAAAAAAGATAATTCGACAAATTTATTTTACATCGCAAAAATCGCCTCAGATTAAAATGGCGGAGTAAAATGGAAATTTAAACTTTTAAGGGAAATTTTTCCCCTTTAAACCCGGGGTTTCCCCTTGGGAAATTGATGAAAAGTTGGGGGGCCCCTTTTGGGTTTTTACGGGGATTTCATTAAAAAAAAAATAAGGGAAATTTCCCCCAAAAGCCCTAAAAAAGGGGTCAGCGTCTTGTTAAGAAACATTCATTACTGTTTGTTATGTGTAGAGCGTTTTCCTTTTTACCCTAAAAGGTTAGGCGACATGAGCCTAACCATTCGAGAAAGATCTCTCAAATCTCCGATCATGTGCTTTAGATCCGTATAATTGTGGGTTGCCTCTGCTCCCTGATCCAGACTCTCATACTGAGATTTGCTAAAAATATAGAAATAGAAAAATGCTTGAACAGATTAAAACTTCTTATAAATGATATTACGATGAGTAGATCGTTTAGAAGTTCAAAATACAATACATTTTTATGTTTGTGTGTTTATGTCCGTTAACGTTTTACACACATTTGCCAACAATATATGATCATACATCAATTTATTTTTCAACTTTCATATAAACACAATTACCAAGAAAGCAAAAACATAATTGAAGGTAAGCTATGCAATAAGTACTTTATTTTTAGATCTAGATATATAATATATTTACTCTTCTTTTCACGTAATAATGTTTTTGTTAGTAACGTTTGTTTGTCAATTATTACGCCGATTTGGCATTCTTTTGTCATATCTCGGCTATCGATTCACCTTACCGTAAGATGTATTGCCTATTTTGTATGGATTTGCTGTTTCCTGAAACATAATTTTGACAAAGATATTGAAATTTGTTATTGTTTACACATTAAGCTGTTTTGAACAATTATGTTTAACACAAGATCAAGCATCACTGCGGTATACAGTACCCCGAATATTGCTCGATAGTATGAGGACTTTCATCCCATTTCGCGACTTTGAACAGGGAACAAAGGTTAGTTCAGCGACGATATTAAGTCATTATGAATTGGTTTGATATAAATTTTAAAGACAGACATATACTTCGATAATTTCTCTAGTCACTGAAAACCAATAAATGTTGAGAAATAGCTTTGAAATGTAATTAGGAGTTAAAATTCGCCTCTCTGCTCACGTTATAAATGATTTTTGACCTCAGTCAAATTGGATGATTTTGTACATTTACTTCCTTAAAAAAACTTGAATCGAATGAAATGTCATAACGATGATAATGTTTATGTTGCAACTGTTCAATCAACAAAAGGGTTTCAAATGACAACGCATTTTGAGAGTAAATACACATGTCTGTGTACCGAGTATTGCTTTAGAGTCACGAGTATTGCTTGTATAGTGTGACGAGCTTTAGTTATTAATATCGAGTAAATGCAAGGAGTACTCATATAGTATTTACCACATTCAATCTTAAATATTTCTTATTGTGTAAACTTATTGACACTATATGTGCAGAATATGCAGAGTTCAAAGGTACTTTACTGGAAACATTTGCGAAAAGTCCATAGGGAGTAAAATTTTCATTCCTACTCATGAAAAACTCAGTCGAGTAAAGACACCAATTTTCTTTGTTTACAAAATTCTCGTTGCTATCGAAGGATCAACCTTTTCAGAATTTATCAATAATTATTGCATATCTTACTTTAAATTGTACCGAAATTGCATTGAAAGTATACGATACTACCTCAAGATTATCAATATTAGCCGGTATTAAACAAGTGTGCCAATATCTGATATCAACCCACGTCCTTCTATGCAAAAATCCATATAAAAAACTTTTGGTCAATTAGACCCTGCATTCTAGCAACGGCAGACCGTCTGCTTGTGAAATTTGTTACGTAATTAGCAAAGAGTTATGAATGTTGAGCGGGTACTACAGTTGCAAATCGAATAATGGAATTTTTATAAGATTATATGATACTGGGCAGCAAATGCAATAAAAAGGTTATGATACAGGACAAGTGTTCCTTAAGCCGATAACTTTCTTAAGACACACTTTCCCTGTAAAAAAACTATAATTTACGTCATCTAAATAGTATTTGTTTTCTTTTTAGAGATTGATCTGCCTGATCATAGTTCCTTGAAATATGTATTTAAAGATTTTGATCGTTAGTTAGTTCTACCCTGCTCCCGAAAAAGTACACACTTTAACTCTATCCTCATTAACACGCTTTAACTTTATTTCATCCATAGTGTGATTTGCAATTAAATTGGAAATTAAATCTCTGTATTTGTACGTAGAAAACAAAACAGTAATAACACTGAAACTGCAATCTTGCATCTAAATATTTGAAAAAAATATCATGATTAGTAAATAATCAGCAATATCAAATGGCATAATCGATAAACAGACGTAAAATATAAAAAATAGACCAAAATATCGATTTTCCATAATTCTGTTTTGCAATAATCTGTACGCTAAAGTTGTGCTAATGTGCAATACTCGGTACACTTAAAATCAATACTCGGTACACTTTCTTGTATCTCTTTTGGCCTATATCTTTTTGTACTTTCACACTTTTGTCTGAAATTTGGATTAAGCATACTTGGATTTTGAATAAAGAAATTGCTCGATTCATATTTTTTGTATCTTAGTAATATAATCATTTATAAAGATAGTACATTACCCATTCAATACTTTATATTGAGCAGCCGATCGATTTGGGGTAGTTTAATCAATTTTACAATTACCTTTGATGTCTTTTAGAGCTACAAAAATATACCTCTAGATGTTTAAAACTCGTTGAGATAAATAAAATAGTTATAAGCTTACAAAAAATGCCGCTGAACTTACCTTCGTTCCCCGTTCAAAGTCTTGAAATGGGATGAACGTCTTCATCATATCGAGCAATATCCGGGGTACAATATACTGCAGTGATCATGCACATATGTTTTCATATAAAAACATATATCAGAATGCTGAAAATTCACTGACATTAAATAATTAAAATAAATTTCAAACAATTACAATTCATATTTTTAAAGAATCCATATCCGTGCTATTGTTATGTTTGTTTGTTTGGTTTATTTTACGCCTTTACCCAACAGTATTTCAGTCATATAGGCGGGTAGTTTCCTAACCATCGTTCCTGGAGAGTTACACCAGTACTAGACTACCTTCCTCCGCGCTACACTACCAAAGCATCTCCCGGGGATCAAACCCACGCCAGAGAGGTAACTGGATAAGAAGTCATCGACTCTAACCCCTCGACCACGGAGGTGGTTCCGTGCTATGGTCTCAAAAACATTTAGAAGTTCTGAAGTGTACGCTTATCATACTTGAACATTGTCTGGCAGATATTCCAGAAGTTATGTTGGGTATCTATTATGACGATCAAACAAACCCTTTTTAAAATATGATACGAATATTTAGTTGGATATAAATTTGGCAAGATCTATGAGATTGTTACGAAAAAAAAAAAAAAAAAAAAACACAATTATATAACAATTATTATATGTGTAATTTACGAGGTCAATTGCGTTCTATTTCTTGAAACAATGCTTGCTGAGGTTGCCTGAAACAGTATGAATAGTTAGGGAATCCTGAACTGTTGTTCTCATTAGCAATGAGAAAATCTTTCATACATTTCAAATATGTGATACACTAATCAACTTTGAATAATGGTATATGTTAATACCTAATAGAATAATGAAATAAGAATCCCTAAGGAAAGTCAAAAACTGCAAAATTGAAAATGTTACAGACTCGGTTTGATTGTGCCTGTTCGTGGACGGTACTGTCAAGTGCAAGTTACCGTCTACGCCCCGTAGCACCGCTTAAGCAGAACTCAACATTTAAATATGAAATGGCAAAATTTTGAATTAAGAAACATCCACAGATGTGTTCATACGGCAGATATCATTGAACATTAATGTGACACTTCCGTGCCGTTCCATGAAAGCAGCTTATGGTCCCGAAGTAATAGAAATCGTGTGCCATAAACAAGAAAACAATGGATGAAACTAAACAAAATGGAATTTTGAAAGGGGATCAGATGTTATGAAGCCTGCATATCACAGATAAAGCGTCAAAAGACAAAGTTATTAAGTAGGCAACATATCCTAAGGGTGATCAACATTATTCAATTAGGAATATTGGACTTTCAAATTGTTGAAATTAAAAAATATTAAAAACATAACAATGATGTGGTGGACGCTCTTTAAGGATCGGAAATATAACATCGCTGATTGAATGTACGGAGCGACATTTTACAGCCTCCACACGACACAAACAACGCTGATGTGGCGATAAAATAGAGAAAATACGAATCCCTAACAAAGTCCAAAACGACAAAATTGAAAATATTTACTATCGCACTTATGAATTTTACTTGAATGACTGTAAAAAATAACAGACGAAACAGACGAATATAATTCCCCAAAATAATTACATTATTATATATATTCAGAATACAATACCAGTCTAATTATGACAGAAAATGAGCCACTATTTTTAGATATTTTTTAAAGTA